GTTTCCCCCCCCCCCCCTTTCCCCCCCCCCCCCCTTTCCATCTCCTTTTCCTCCTATAAGGCATCTGCAGAGGTCATTTCTAACACTCGTCAATTCACAATGAACATGCACTATGGAAGTTTTTAAGCCACGTATCGCTTCCTCAAATCATCTATTACAACTCCTCCATTCCAAACATTTTGTTGAGATTGCATCATCCAGTCCGTGGCAATATTACATTGTGCATTACTTATGAAATGACCCTCGTATAATGCTAAATGTCGCGCGTAGGGATGGGATAAAAATATATTTTAAGTAATATCGAACATTTGCAGTATATGTTCGAATCTATTATGAGTATTTGGAAATATAATGCCATCTAAATGTAATAAAACTTTCTATATTGTAATCGAACACAATTCAAGTATCACGAAATATAACAGTATCATAATGTAAAAATTTAATGTAAAAATCAATATGTAGTCGAAACTTTTTCAAACATATACGAATCTTTTATGAGTACTTAAAAAGAACAGTAATAAAACACGAACATCTATCATGTGGAATCAGAATTCTATAGTATGTGTATGTACACATCCGCATACAAAATAATTCTCTGGTGATATATCTATATCTATGTGTACACTCAAGGGCAGGAAAAATTTTTACTCGCAACATCCTCTTTGCCATAAAAAAGGCACCATCATTGGTCTTGTAGATAGAGCGTTTCGTCTCTTCCACTTCATGTACACTCAAGGGCAGGAATGGTGTCTCTAGGCGGCTAGATATATACGTGTATGACAGCCGAAAGCGGTATCCAGCCAGCGCGGTGTCCTATAACTGTCTCACTCGCACTCCCTGCATTCAATTGGAGTGAGTGAGACAGATAGAGGACACCATTAATTGGCGATAAGGATGCAACATCAGAATGCCTCCCACTTTTTTCTCCTTCGCTGCTTGATCTTCTTCGCGCTTCAAGTAATACATATACATACATACGTGATCCATGTGTATGCGTAATACTTTCGGTTGTCATATACGTATACACCTTACAACCGCCGAGGGATACCATTCCTGCCCTTGAGTGTACATACTATAGAATTTCGATTGCACATAGAGAGTGTTATGTTTCCAAGTACTTATAAAAGATTCGAATATATTTCATAAACTTTTAGTTACAATTTGATATTAGTACCAATATCGTTTGTTATTCTAATTTTTCATTGTTCGTAACTTGTCTCATTCATAATTGTATGAAGTTTTTTGTATAATTACATTAAATACATATATTTTTTTATAAATACTACTCGTTTCAATAGAATGAAATCTAGTAACTGAAGTACTTACATAGTAACTAGTAACTGAATTGAACTGAGATTTATATATATATATATATATATACAGTGTCCCAGATCACCCGTACACCCCTTTTAAAATGAAAATAAATGGCTTTTATCTAAAATTGCGAACATTTTTTAAGTAAATCGGGTATGCTCTATCGAATGATGATATTTTCAACTTTTGATTCCGACCGTAAATACGCCATCCGGACCGGAAGTTGAATTTTTTGAGGGGAACATAGTCAATTTTTAAGGTCAATTTTAAGGTTGACAGAGGCAATTTCAGAAAAAACGTTTGATACAAAAGTTTCTTATTTTTTCACGTACAATTCGAATCTGTAATAAAAGTACTATGTTCCCCTCAAAAAATTCAACTTCCGGTCCGGATGGCGTATTTTCGGTCGGAATCAAAAATTGAAAATGTCACCATTTGATAGAGCATACCCGATTTACTTACAAAATGTTCGCGATTTTTGATAAAAGCCATTCATTTTCATTTTAAAAGAGGTGTACGGGTGGTCTGGGACACCCTGTATATTGACCTTGATCTCCTCGACTCGTACGCTATTGCACTGCATAATTAGCATAATTATTATGAAAACGTAAGGAATTAAATTAGAACTGCAGATAGCGGCGGCGGGAATGAGCGCGATTTTGCCATGCTTCTCTAGTCGTTTTGAATAACGGTTTGTATCCCACCTTACTCTTGCATTGTTTGCATTACTTTACGCGCATGCGTAGGCCTTCATTTTTATTATTAATAGATTTTATTACTAATAGATCATTTTTATTACTAATAATAGAAACATTGATTGGTTCTGTTTTGTCCTTCACTTTTATCATTAACTATGTAAAAATTTTATTTGATTTTTTAAGCGTTACAATATTACGAATATATTAATTGATAATGCACAAATTCACTCAAACATTGTGTGTAAAGTGTAAAGCATTCGCTCAGTTTTGCTAATAAATATAACCTAACTTTGCTCAATATGACATCGATTAAAAGAAATCACTTCTCTTTCTTTCCCGCGCACTATTCCACGTTAATAATTTCTTTTCACTTTATCGCCTTTTTTTCTTGTGTTGTTGCACTATTCCGCGATATTCTCATGACCATTAATCCCTTTATCACTTTTCTTCTTGTCGCATTATACTCCGCGCGTACTCTTATAAAATATAAACATTATTATCTCACACATATGCACACATGTTCGCATATGATTTTGTCCCTTAAAGCGTTTTACACATCAAGCAAATATTCGTACATGAGTGATGTGAACACTGCTTGAGGTATAAAATCGTTTTATATGTGTGCGTGCGAGCATACGTACGTGAGTCTGAAAGTTGAAAAATTAGGCCAGTGGTAGAACATAGAGAAACTTAAGCAGTAAGATTTAAGACTTAAGAATTTCATCCATACAGAATTTTCAGCGCTGCTTACGTTCTCGATTGTAATTGATCACTTTCCTTACGTCTTAAATCTTACTGCTTACGTTTTTCTATGTGCCACAGGCTCTTAAAATGTCACAATTCTGGTATACGATTATTAGGATTGACTGCACCAATCTTATTCAAACTGGTCGCAATCGAAAGCCTTTACATTATATCAGAAAAGTTAGAGAGTTAGAAAGTTAGATAGTTAGTAGATTTTTTATTACGGCTTCAGTTCCTGAGGTATTTTAATCGAAAGTTAATTCAAATGATTATAGACATAAAACTCCGGATAAGCTACTTGGCAGCGTCGCGGTTCTTGTACAGAGGCAAAACTGTTGACAAGCCAGAAAGAAATTTTTATGTACTTGGCATCGCGACGCTTGATAATAAAATAATAAATTAATTGATTGGGTGTCTCGGGATTTATCCGACAAACTGCAGGAGAATATTCTAAAGGAAATAAGAAAAAGATATTATATGAAGTTTGGCTAGAGAAATGCTTTACTATAAAGTTATAAGCAAATATTGAAACGAAACATGAAATAGGTAACAACACATTTTCTATTTGTTGTGCTTCAGGTAAGACACGGGAAATACCTCTATTAAACTAGCAAGACCAAATCAGCAGAATCAAACTGGACTTATCAGATTATTTAGTATCCATTTTGTACTAATTTGTACCACTAATAATAATTTTGTACCTCGTGCCATTTCCAAAAAAACCGTGGCGCTGCTACCATCAAATTAAGCTAGCAGGACCAAACTAAAACAAACCGAAAAGATAAAAATAAGACCAGAAATCGACAGGGCTGAATTTGTACTAATTTGTACCACCCAAATAAACTTAATATATCTAGCCCTTACGCTTAAAACAATCCCCAATTGAATTCAGCCCTATTAAGCTCAAGAGTAAAGTACCTTTCGCCACGAGCAGAATCACGCTACTTGTACATACGACGCGTCATAATTTGTACCATCAAAATCTAAAGTTTCAGATTTTGTACCCCCGCCGTTCCTTCGAAACTACCCTCGACCACTATCCGTCTCAAGAGTAAAGTACCTTTCGCCACGAGCAGAATCAATCGCTACTTGTACACACGACAGATGCTATTTTAATAATTCCTTTATAACTCAAAACTGCTCGTAGCGATTATGGAAGAAAATTTTCTTCTTGGATGCTCTCACGTCCTGTTTATTCATGCTCGTAACGTCCACTGTTTATTTATAACATGATAGAGAAATAAGTGTCACGACTTTGACATATGATCTTAAACAAGCAGGATCGGACTAAACGAGAATATCCTAACTTTTCATGGATTTCAGGATCGACGTAATTTCGTGAGAGCACCACCACCAGGAGTAGAATTTGCTTGGGACTTCGAGGCGGTT